ATCCCAGCACTTTGGGAGGCCGAGGAGGGCAGATCACCTGAGGTCAGGAGTCCGAGACCAGCCTGACCAACATGGAGAAACCCCGTCTCTACTAAAAAAAAAAGCACAAAATTAGCCGGGCATGGTGGCACATGCCTCTAATCCCAGCGACTAAGGAGGGTGAGGCAGGCGAATCGCTTGAACCTGGGAGACGGAGGTTGCGGTGAGCTGAGATCGCATCATTGCACTCCAGCCTAGGCCACAAGAGCAAAACTTCGTCTCAAAAAAAAAAAAAAAAAATTTTAAAAGTGAAAAAAAAGAAAATGTTAAAAGTGTAGATTTGCCAAAAACTTCCAGTGATTGTTTCATTAACAGCATGTAGATATTGGATAAATATCAGAAGAGAAATGGTGATGAACACATTATGTAATGAAGATTGCTGTTTCTCTGTATTTTATTAAAACCGTAGATAACATAGGGTGAAAAAAAGACAGCTCCTTAGGTAGAGATCTTTGTGCATTTCAGGAATATAAAGGGGGACATATGTGTTTACTGGCTCTTCTGCACTGACAATGCAATCATAAGATAAGGTCAGAATGTCCAAACCAGCTCTAATAGACCTATTACTCCCCAACTAAACAGGCCAGATTCTACCATCTCCCACAATCACTATAAGAGGTCTGACAATCCAGTGCTTGAGTATCTGCCAAGATTTTGACATTAAAGGAGTGTCTTTATACTGAAAATATTTCAGAGCCACTGAACTAAATCATCCATGGTTCACCACACATTTAGCAGCTTAATATGCATACCATAAGATTCACCCATTTGAAGTGTACAGTGATTTTTAGTTGTTGTACATCTTGAGTGGATACAGTTCAGATTCCCAACTAATCAATTTAATTATTTGGGAAAAAGTAAAAGATACGTAATGACATAAGATGAGACTGTGATGGGGTTTAACCCCCATTTGATAAACCATGAGATGGAAAATTCTGAATTGATGCCACAGATAAATGCACCAACCATGACTAAACATAATTCAGAAGCAAATCTGAAATAACTCCTCAACAGTGAGTGGACTCATAACCCTCTGCTACAGAATGCCCTCATGCAACAGAAGTCTCTCTAGAGTTTGGAAATCTTTACCAATAAAGAAAAATGCTGATGTATTCTCTTTCAGTTGGACATCCTCAGATGACTTTTGGCAAGCCCCAGAGAATCATCCCGAAGGTGAGTATCTCTCAAATCCAAAGGACCAGAGAACCTTTGTCCCTTCACGGATGTGAACACTGGTAAGAGTGGGAGAATATCAAAAATGCCCTCATTGCCTCCTTCTCCCCATGTCTATCACAACACCTGATGTAGCATCGACAGCTTTTGTTTTCATAGTGATGCCAGATACTATTTTAATAACTTCACATGAAGTAATGTAGTGAATCCATGAGAAGACCTCTATGATGTTGTGTCTGTTATTATCTCCAAATAATAATGAGTCACACACTTCAGTGTTTATAAAAGCCATGTGACTTGGCGCAAATCTTCTAAGTTCTCTGAGCTCCAGATTCCTGGTCCATGAAATGGAAGTGAAGAATCATAGTTCATGTTATAGATCATAATTATCAGCAAAATAATGAAATGAGGCTATCATGGTACAGAGATGTTAAAGAATTTTCCTGAGGCGGAGTGGCAGGGGTAGTTTAATCCAGAGCTCCAAGCCATTTAAAGCTCATTCACGTTTGCATTTATTTATGAAGTTCAGATGTTGCTCACTAGGGATTTACCCCATAGGGCCTGCTGGTGCTTCCGTTGAGACACCCATTCTCGCAACAGGAAGGACCAGCTGGCCTCTCCTCTGTTACCAGGGCCGCTTGCATGGCTTAGGAATTGCTTTGACTGTTGGCCCCTCCTTGAGCTCCTTGAGGGCCTTGTCTGCACCTGGGGCATCCGGGAAGCCCCAATCCCAGCCCAGGGGATCCCTCGGAGGTCCCTGAATGAGTGATCCCACAAGTGCAGATTCAACTCTGGTTTAGAGGGTAAAGGAATGTGGGAGTTGGGTTGCCAGTGTGGAGACCAAATTCAAAGAAGGAAACAGAAAGGTGTTAATTGTTGTTATTATTATTACATTTAAACAGTATTTACAAGCTCAGAGAGGACTTTCCCTTAGCCTATTTTACAACGATCGTTCACTATTTCATAAGTGAGGAAGCTGAGTAAAAAGTAGCTTAAGGGCCAGGCCCGATGGCTCACGAGTGTAATCCCAGCATTTTGGGAGGCCGAGGTGGGCAGATCATGAGGTCAAGAGATAGCATCCTGCCCAACATGGTGAAACCTCATCTTTACTAAAAATACAAAACTTAGTGTGGCGTGGTAGTGCCTGCCTGTAGTCCCAGCTACTCAGGAGGCTAAGACAGGGGAATCACTTGACCCGGGGGAGGGGGAGATTGCAGTGAGCCGAGATCTCGCTACTGCACTTTAGCCTGGTGACAGAGCGATACTTTGTCTCAAAAAGAAAAAAGAAAAGCAAAGAAAAAAGTAGCTTAAGATTGTTGGTCAGTGACATATCCCAATGTAACCAGAATTGGTATGGGTACCACCTCACTGAATTCCACATTCAATGTTGGTGCCTCTCTAGGGTGCTATGCCATATCTGGTACTGCTTTGTTTGCTGCCTAGATTAATTTCAGCAAACCATTTCTTTCCCTCTCCCTTCCTTGTATTCATCTCCCCACAGTATCTTTCCCAGCAGTGTTTTGTCCCCTCGCTACGTATTTACATTTAGACTCCCAGCAACTGACTACAAGCCTTTATGGGATCCCTTGTATTTTACAGAAGCTCTTCCATTTGTAGACCTTTTGAATTCTTAGAATGCTATTTTTCTCCAAATCTTCTGTATACCACACTCTCAATTACATGGAGATTTCTGCTGTTTGCACGAATGTCAGTCTTAAAAGAGTGTGAAGATAAGCATTCTAGCCCTGGAAGCCCCATTCATTTAGGCCATTCCTTTCACTTCTAACCTCCCAGGTTTCTCCTTATTTAGGTAAGTGTAACTCTCCCAGCGTTGCTGAGAATATTGATTAAGGTAATGCATGTGAAGACGCTTTGTAAACTCTAAAGCACTATAGAAATTTCACTGATACTGTTTATCTGTGACCTTCGCATTGTAAAGAGAATGCTCAAGAAGCCAGCAGAGGAAGGAAATGATTCAAAGGGAGTACCAGAAGCATCTGGCCCACAAAATGATGGGAAACAGCTGTGCCCCCCGGGAAAAGCAAATACCTCTGAGAAGATTAACAAGAGATCTGGTAAGAGGAAACAATTCAGGAGCAACCACTGTAGCTTCCCTGGCTATGTTCAGGTGTGTGGACTGGGTGCGTGGCATGGATCCCAGACAAGCCTGGGTCCAGGCTGGGCTGAGGAGCTTACCCAGCTCCAGATGAGATGTTAGAGATGACTTTCAGAGACACAGACTGGAGTTGTAAAAAACCACGTGTCTTGGGGCAAGTCTTCCAAATTTTCTCAGTTCCAGATTCCTAGTCCATAAGATAGAAATAAAGAATCATAGTTCATAAATGGTTTGGAGGCGTTAAATTAAATCTAGAAGCCTGATGACGTGAAAGGTGCTCAAGCAATTTTACCTGTGATAATCTGGAATCATATCTTAGTCAGCTCAATGCCTGATACTCAACACATGTGTACTTCAGAGATATTGCAGGTTCTGTTCCAGACCACTGCAATAAAGTGGGTCACACACATTGTTTTTTGTTTGTTTCACAGTGCATAAAAACATTATGTTTACACTATAGTGTAGTCTACTAAGTGTGCAATAGCGTTATGTGTAAAAATGTACATACCTTAATTTTAAAATAATTCGTTGTTAAAAATGCAAACAATCTTCTGAGCCTTCAGTGAGTCACACTCTTTTTGCTGGTGGAGGGTCTTGCCTCGGTGCTGATGGCTGCTGGCTGATCAAGGTGGTGGTTGCTGAAGGGTGGAGTGGCTGTGGCAGTTTCTTAAAAGAAGACAACAATGAAATTTGCCACATTGATTAGCTCTCCCTTTCATGAAAGATTTCTCTGTACTATGTGATGCTATTGGATAGTATTTTACTCACAGTAGAACTTCTTTCAAAGTTAGAGTCAATCCTCTCTAGCTATGA